TGTTTGTCTTTCTGGGTCTGGGTTGCCTCACTGAGAATGATTTTTTCTACTTCCATCCATTTGCCTGCAAATTTCAAGATGTCATTTCTTTTCACCACTGGGTAGTACTTCATTGTGTAAAAGTACCATATTTTTCTTATTTATTCTTCAGTTGAGGGGCATTTAGGTTGTTTCCAGCTTCTGATTATTACAAATAATGCTGCTAGGAACAGGACTGAGCAAATGGCCTTGTGGTATGACTGAACATCCTTTGGGTTTATGCCTAAGAGTGATTTTGCTGGGTGTTGAGGTAGAATTATTCCCAGTTTTTTGAGAAATTGCCATACTTACTTCCAAAGTGGTTGTACAAGTTTGCACTCGCACCAGTAATTGGGGAGTGCTCCCCTTACTTTACATTCCCTCCAGCATAAGTTGTCATCAGTGATTTTGATCTTGGCCATTCTCACAGGTATCAGATGGTATCTCAGAGTTGTTTGGATTTCCTTTTCTCTGATAACTGCGAATGTTGAGCATTTCCTTAAGTGTCTTTCAACCATTTAAGCTTCCTCTGTTGAGAGTTCTTTATGTCTGTACCCCATTTTATTTTTATTTTTATTTTTTTATTAAAAATTTCCACCTCCTCCCTTCCCTAAAATGGCTCTGTTAATTAAGATATTTACTTCCCTGCTCCCACATCCACCCCTCCTTCATCCCAATCATCCCTATCTCTCAAGCTCTCCCCATTCTCTGCTTCTCCCTTCTTTCCCCCATCTCCCCTTATCCCTACCTCACACCCACCCCTGTGCTCCCAAACCCTGCCCAGCAATTTTATCAAATTCCAATATCCAGAAGGATAACTCTATGTTTTTCTTTAGGTTCACCTTCTTATTTGGCTTTTCTAGGATCACAAATTATAGGCTCAATGTCTTTTATTTATGGCTAGAATCCACTTATGAGTGAGTACATATCATATTCCACTTTTTGGGTCTGGGTTACCTCACTTAGTAAAGTGTTTTCAATTTCCATCCATTTACATGCAAAAATCAAGATGTCATTGTTTTTTACCGCTGAGTAAAACTCTAATGTATATATGTTCCACACCTTCTTTAACCATTCTTCTATTGAGGGGCACCTAGGCTGTTTCCAGGTTCTGGCTATTACAAATAGTGCTACTATGAACACAGTTGAACAAATCCTTTTGTAGTATGATTGGGAATCTCTTAGGTATATTCCCAAGAGTGAAATTGCTGGGTCCTGAGGTAGGTTGACTCCCAGTTTCCTGAGAAACCGCCACACTGATTTGCACAGTGGTTGCACAAGTTTGCATTCCCACCAACAATGAATGAGTGTTCCCCTCACTCCACATCCTCTCCAGCATAGGCTATCATTGGTGTTTTTTATTTTAGCCATTCTGACAGGTGTAAGGTGGTATCACAGAGTTGTTTTGATTTGCATTTCCCTGATTGCTAAGGAGGCTGACCATGACCTTAAGTGTCTTTTGGCCATTTGAACTTCTTCTGTTGAGAAATCTCTGTTCAGTTCAGTGCCCCATTTTTTAATTGGGTTAATTAGAGTTTTAGTGTCTAGTTTCTTAAGTTCTTTGTATATTTTGGAGATCAGACCTTTGTCTGATGAGGGGTTGGTTAAGATCTTCTCACAGTCAGTAGGTTGCCTTTTTGTCTTAATGACAGTGTCTTTTGCTTTACAGAAGCTTCTCAGTTTCAGGAGGTCCTATTTATTCATTGTTGCTCTTATTGTCTGTGCTACTGGGGTTCTACGTTGGATGAGATCTCCTGTGCCCATGTGTTGTAGACTACTTCCCACATTCTCTTCTATCAGATTCAGTGTGGTCAGATTAATATTGAGACCTTTAATCCATTTGGACTTGAGTTTTGTGCATGGTGATAGAAATGGATCCACTTTCATTCTTCTACAGGTTGACATCCAGTTATGCCAGCACCATTTGTTAAAGATGCTTTCTTTCTTCCATTGTATAGTTTTAGCTCCTTTGTCAAAAATCAGGTGTTCATAGGTTTGTGGATTAAGATCTGGGTCTTCGAATCGATTCCATAGGTCACCATCTCTGTTTTTGTGCCAATATCAAGCAGTTTTCATTACTGTAGCTCTGTAATAGAGTTTGAAGTCAGGGATGGTAATGCCTCCGGAAGTACTTTTATTGTATAGGATTGTTTTGGCTATCCTGGGTTTTTTGTTTTGCCATATAAACTTGATTACTGTTCTCTCAAGTTCTGTGAAGAATTTCGCTGGGATTTTGATGGGAATTGCATTGAATCCATAGATTGCTTTTGGTAGAATTGCCATTTTTACTATATTGATCCTCCCAATCCAAGATCGTGGGAGATTCTTCCATTTTCTGGGATCCTCTTCAATTTCTTTCTTCAAAGACTTAAAGTTCTTGTCAAATAGATCTTTCACTTCCTTGGTTAGAGTTACCCCAAGATATTTTATACTATTTGTGGCTATCCTGAAAGGTGATGTTTCTCTGATTTCCCTCTCTGTATTTTGTTCTTTGTGTACAGGAGCGCAACTGATTTTTTTGGAGTTGATCTTGTATCCTGCCACAGTACTAAAGGTGTTGATCAGCTGTAGGAGGTCTTTGGTAGAGTTTTTGGGGTCGCTTATGTACACTATCATATCATCTGCAAATAATGAAAGTTTGACTTCTTCCTTTCCAATTCTAATTTGCTTGATCTCTTTATGCTGTCTTATTGTTATTGCTAAAACTTCAAGCACTATATTGAAGAGGTATGGAGAGAGTGGACAGCCTTGTCTTGGTCCTGATTTTTAGTGGGATGGCTTTGAGTATCTTTCCATTTAATTTAATGTTTTTGTCCTGCGATACCTTGTTTTCTTCATCAGTGGTAAATGCAAGCTTTTCTGGGTATAGTAGTCTAGGCTTTCATCCTTGGTCTCTTAGTTTCTGCAACACATCTATCCAAGACCTTCTGGCTTTCATGGTTTCCATTGAGAAGTCAGGTGTAATTCTGATAGGTTTCCCTTTATATGCTACTTGACCTTTTTCCCTTGCAGCTCTTAATATTTATTCTTTATTCTGTGTGTTTTGTGTTTTTATTATTATATGGCAAGGGGATTTTTTTTGATCCAGTCTATTTGGTGTTCTGTATGCTTCTTGTACCTTCATAGAAATATCCTTCTTTAGATTGGGAAAGTTTACTTCAATAATTTTGGTGAATATATTTTCTGGGCCTTTGAACTGTAAATTTTCTCCTTCTTCTACACCTATTATTCTTAGGTTTGGCCTTTTCATGGTGTCCCAGATTTCCTGGATGTTTTGTTTTAAGAATTTGTTGGATTTGTTTTGTTCTTTAATCAGTGAGTTTATTTCCTTTACAGTATCTTCAGTGTCTGAGATTCTTTCTTCTATCTCTTGTATTCTGTTGGTAATACTTGTCTCTGCAGTTCCTATTCGTTTACCAAGATTTTCCATATCCAGCCTTCCCTCGGTTTGTGTTTTCTTCATTACCTCCATTTCATTTTTCAAGTCTTGAATTGTTTCCCTTACTTGTTTGATTGCTTTTTCTTGAATTTCTTGTTTTTCTTGGGTATCTTTGAGATATTTATTCATTTCATCTACTTTTTTGTTTGTTATTTCCATTTCTTTATGGCAGATTTTCACTTCCTGTTTAAGTGTCTCTATTATTTTCATATAGTTCCACTTAGAATCGATTTCTTCTATTTCTTCTGGGGTAGGGTATTCAATTCTTCTAGTTTCGTGATCCCTGATTCTGGTGATGTCATGTTGCCTTTCAGGTTGTTGGAGGAATTCTTCCATTGGCGCCTGCCCATCTCTTCCTTCAAATGGAGCCAGGAGAGTCTTGTTGTCTTGGTTCAGTTTTTGCTGTGACTGTCTCTCTGGATGGATCTCTTCAGTGCAGGAGCAGGAACTGTTCCTGTCCCTCTAGATGGAACTCCTCAGCACCCTCTGGATGGAATTCCTCAGCACAGACACAGGGATAGTTGGTATTCCAAGGACACCGCAGACAGAAGGGCAAATGTGGGGGCAGGGCAGGGTCGAGTGGAAAACAGAAGACCCTGCAGCAGGAGCTGTGGGGGGGGGGCTGTGCTCTCTTCCGGGACAATCTGCCCCGGATAGCACACACTCACCCCTCTGGATGGAAATCCTCAGCACAGACACAGGGATCTATGTGATCAACTTTTGAGAACGTTCCATGCAATGCTGAGAAGAAAGTATATTCTTTTCTGTTTGGGTGGAATGTTCTATAGATGTCTGTTAGGTCCATTTGGTTCATTACATCTGTTAGTTCTCTTATTTCTCTGTTAAGTTTCTGTCTGGTTGACCTGTCCATTAGTGAGAAAGGAGTGTTGAAATTTCCCACTATTAGAGTGTGGGGTTTGATGTATGCTGTGAGTTCTAGTAATGTTTCTTTTACATAAGTGGGTGCTTTTATATTAGGTGCGTAGATATTCAGGATAGAGACTTCCTCCTGATGAATTGTTCCTGTTATGAGTATAAAGTGTCCATCTCCATCTCTTCTGATTGATTTTAGTTTGAAAGCAATTTTGTTAGATGTTAGTAATAGTCACACCTGCTTGTTTCTTTGGTCCATTTGAAAAACCTTTTCCCAATCCTTTACTCTATGGTAGTGTCTGTCTTTAAGTTTGAGGTGTGTTTCTTGTAAACAGCAGAATGTTGGATCCTGATTTCATATCCATTCTCTTAACCTGTGCCTTTTTATAGGTGAATTGAGTTCATTGATATTAAGTGATATTAATGACCAGTGGTTGTTTACTCCAGTTATTTTTTCTGGTGGTTGAGTTTGTGTGTTTCCCTTCTTTGAGTTTTGCTGGTGGAGGGTTGTCAGATGCTTGTGGGTGTTGTTGGTTTCCTTAGTTTGTGATTTTCCTTCTAGGATTTTCTGTAAGGCTGGGTTTGTGGCAACGTAGTGTTTAAATTTGTTTTTGTCCTGGAATATCTTGTTTTCTCCATCGATGGTGAATACAAGCTTTGCTGGATATAGAAAAATATGGAATGTTTCACGAATTTGAGTGTTATCCTTACACAGGGGCCATACTAATCTTCTTTGTATCGTTCCAATTTTATTATATGTACTGCCAAAGTGAGTACTCTACCACATTTTTTTATTGGTCTATTTGTTCTTTTGATGTCTAGCTTCTTGAGTTCTTTGTATGTTTTTGAGATCAGTCCTCAGTCAGATGTGGGGTTGGTGAAGATGCTTTCCCATTCTGGAGGCTGCCATTTTATCTTGTTGACAGTGTCCTTTGCTTTTCATAAGAATCTCAGTTTCAGAAGGTGCCCTTTTTTAATTGTTGCTCCCGGTGTCTGTGTTACTGGAGTTATATTTAGGAAATGTGCCAATGCATTCAAGGCTACTTTTCCCTTTCTCTTCTATGATGTTCAGTGTGGTTGGGTTTATGTCGATGTCTTTGATCCATTTTTACTTGAGTTTTGTGCATGGTGATAGATATGGATCTATTTGCATTCTTCTACATGTTGGTATCCAGTTATGCCTGCACCGTTTGTTAAAGATGCTTTCCTTTTTCAATTATATAATTTTAGCTTCTTTGTCAAAAATCAGGTGTTCTTAGGTGTCTGGGTTGATACCCAGATCATCATTTTGATTCCATTGGTCCACCTGTCTGTTTTTATGCCAATAAGAAGCTGCTGTCATTACTCTATAGTAGAGTTTGAAGTCAGGGATAGTGCATCTTCCAGAAGTTTCTTTGTTATTTTGCCTCTACTGGGATTTTTGTTTTTTCATATATAGTAGAGTATTGTTCTTTGGGGTCTGTGAAAAATTGTGTTGTGATTTTGATGGAGATTGCATTGAATCTGTAGATTGCTTTTGGTAAGATTGCCACTTTTTTACTATGTTAATCTTACCTATTCAAGAGCATAAAACCCTTTCCACTTTCTGATGTCTTCTTTGATGTCTTTCTTCAAAGATTTAAAGTTCTTGCCATACAGGTCTTTCACATGTTTCATTAGAATTACCCAAAACATTTTTTTTTTGTTATTTGTGGCTATTGTAAAGCCTGATGGTTCTGTGAATTCTTTCTCAGCCAGTTTGACAACTGTATATAGGAGGGTAACTGATTTTTTAGTTAATCTTGTGTTCTGTTATATTACTCAAGGTGTTTATCAGTTGTAAAAGTTTCCTGGTGATATTTTTAGGGTCAATTATGTGTATTATAATATGATCAGTCAATAGTAAAAGTTTAGCTTCTTCTTTTCCAATTTGTATCTCCTTGATCTCCTTCTTTGATCTTATTGTTGTAACTAGAACTTCTAGTATTATATTGAATAGATATATAGAGAGCCTTGTCTTGTTCCTGATTTCAGTAGCATTGTTTGAGTTTCTCTCCATTTAGTTTGATGTTGACCATTGGTTTGTTGTACATTGCCTTTATTGTGTTTTGGTATGTTTCTTATATCCCTGCTCTTTCTAAGACCTACATCATGAAGTAGTGTTAAATTTTGTTGAAGACTTTTTCAGCATGTAATGAGATGGTCATATGACTTTTTCTTTCAGTTTGCTTATTTGGTAGATTATATGACAGATTTTTCATATACTGAACCAGCCCTGCATCTCTGAGATGAAGCCTACTTGGTCATGGTGAATAATTTTTATAATGTGTCCTTGGATTTGGTATGCCTGTATTTTATTGAGTATTTTTGCACTAATGTTTATGAAGGAGGTTGGCCTATAATTCTTTTTATTAGTCGTGCTTTGTGTGGTTTAGGTTACACGATAACTATTGCCTCATAAAAAGAGTTTGGTAATGTTCCTTCTGTTTCTATTGTGTGAAACAATTTGAAGAGTATTGGTACGAGTTCTTTGAAAATCTTATAGAATTCTGTGCTGAAACCATCTGGTCCTGGGCTTTTTTTTGGGGGGTTGGAGATTTTGATGACTGTTTCTATTTCTTTAGCAGTTTGGGACTATTTAATTTGCTTCTCTGGTCTTGATTTAATTCTGGTATGTGATATTTATCAAGAAAGTTGCCCATTTTTTAAAGTTTTCCAGTGTTGTGGAGTAGAGGATTTTGAAGTGTGACCTGGTGATTCTCTGGATTTCCTCTATGTCTGTTGTTATGTCTTCTTTTCATCTCTGATTTTTGTTAATTTGCATATTCTTTCTCTGCACTTGGTTAGTTTGGAAGAGGGTTTACTATTTTGTTGATTTTTCAGAAGAACCAGCTCTTTGTCTCATTGATTCTTTGTATTATTTTCTTTGTTTCTATTATGTTGATTTCAGCTCTCAGTTTGATTATTTCCTGCCATCTAGTCCTCCTGGGTGAGGTTGCTTCTTTTAGTTCTAGGGCTTTCTAATGTTCTGTTAATTCACTAGTGTAGCATTTTTTTCCAGTTTTTTATGTATAATGTAAGCATTTAGTGCTATGAACTTTCTTCTTAGTACTGCTTTTATTGTGTCTCATAAGTTTCGGTATGCTGTGAGGTCAATTTCATCAGTGTTCTTTAAGTTATTCTTTTATTTCATCCTTGATCTAGTGGAGATTAAGTTGAGCACTGTTTAGTTTCCATGAGATTGTGGGCTTTCTGAAATAGTGTTGTTGAATCTAACTTTAAACCATGATGGTCTGATATGACACAGAGGGTTATTCCCATTTTTTTGGACCTGTTGAGGTTTGTTTTGTTACTGAATATGTGGTTGATTGTGGAGAAGGATCCAAGGAGGTGCTGAGAAGGAGGTGTATTCTTTTGTGTTTGGGTGAAATGTTCTATAGATGTCAGTTAAGATCATTTGAGTCATAACATCTGTTAGATCCTTTATTTCTCTGTTAAGTTTCTGTCTAGCAGATCTATTTTGTGTTGAAGTCTTCCACTAATAATGTGTGGAACTTGATGTGTGACTTAAGTTTTAGTAATGTTTCTTTTACAAATGAGGATACCCTTGTAATTGGGGCATAAATGTTCGGAATTGAGACTTCATCTTGATGGATTTTTTTCTGTGATGAATATGAAATGACCTTCTCCATCTCTTCTCACTGATTTTAGCTTGAAGCATAACTTGCCAGATATTAGGAAAGGTACACCAGCTTGTTTCTTAGGTTCAATTGATTGGAAAATCTTTTCCCAAACCTTTACTCTGAGGAAAGGTCTCTCTTTAAGGTTGAGGTGTGTTTCTTGTATGCAGCAGAAGGATGAATTCTGTTTTCATATTTGATCTGTTCGCCAGTGTCTTTTTATAGGCAAATTGAATCCATTGATATTAAGGGTAATTAATGACCAGTACTTCCTAGTTCCTGTTATTGTGTGTGTGTGTGTGTGTGTGTGTGTGTGTGTGTGTGTGTGTGTGGTATTTATTGTGTGTATGTTTCTATTCTTTGGGATTTTCTGGTGTGGGATTATCTATAGCCTCTGTTTTTGTGAGTGTAGCTACGTCCCTGGGTTGGAATTTTCTATTTAGTATTTTGTGTAGAGCTGGATTCGTTAATAGATGTTGATTAAATCTGGTTTCATTACCAAATATCTTGTTTTCTACATCTATGTTGATTGAAATCTTTACTGGATATAGTATTCTGGACTAGCATGTATGGTCCCTTAGTGTCTGCATAACACCTAACCAGGGTCTTTTGACTTTCATTGTTTTATTGAGAAGTTGGGTGTAATTCTGATAGGTCTCCCTTTACATGTTATTTGGTCTTTGTCCTTTACAGTCTTTAATATCCTTCCCTTATTTTGAATGTTTAGTGCTTTGATTATTATATGACAAGGGGACTTTCTTTTTGATCCAGTTTGTTTAGTGTTCTGTAACTTTCTTGTATTTTCATAGGCACATCCTTCTTTATGTTGGTAAATTTTTTGTTTCTTTTTTTTTTTTTTTAGTATATTTTTCTGTGCCTTTGGGTTCGGTCTTTTCACAGTCTTCTGGGTATTTTGTGTTAATGATTTGTTGGATTTAACATTTTCTTTGACTGATGAATCTATTCCTCTATTATATCTTCAAGACCTGTGATTCCCTCTTCCATCTCTTCTATTCTGCTCATGCAGTAGTTCCTGATCATTTTTACCCAGATTTTCCACTTCTAGCTTTCCTTGCTCTCTCTCTCTCTCTCTCTCTCTCTCTCTCTCTCTCTCTCTCTCTGTGTGTGTGCTTTAATTGGCTCTATTTCAGTTTTCAAGTCTTGAACCATTTCTGTCACCTATTTGATTGCTTTTTCTTGGTATTTTTTAGGGGATTTTTTTGATATCATCCAATTTTTCATTTTTTTCCTTCATTTCTTTAAGGATTTTTTTATTTCCTCTTTAAGGGCCTCGATCATCTTCATAAAGTTATTTTTAAGGTTTTTTTTTTCTGCTTCATCTGTGTTGGTATAGTCACATCTTCCTCTTGTAAAAACACTAGGTTCTGGTAGGATTGTCTTGTTCTTTATGTTGTTTACTCATCTCTTCTTCTAATCAGAACAGAAACAGCCTGTGTTTCAGTGAGGGTCCCTTTTCCTTCAATTGGTGCAATTGTAGGCTGTGGCTCCATTGATCACTCCTTCATGTGTAGGCAGAGGAAAGCTTTTGATGATCACTGCTCCAGGTGCCTACAGGACCAAAACTCAGAGGGTCATTTCTCCTGATGTTGGCGGGGCTGAGACTAAGGCTCCAATTGTCAGATAATTTCTGGAGGCCACTGCTGTCATCACAGCTTGTCATGTTGCAGCTCATGCTTCTCCTTCTGGAGGCCTGGACCAGTCTCGCCCATTTCTCTGCTGTTGAGAAGTTGGGTGTAATTCTGATAGGTCTCCCTTTATATGTTACTTGGTCTTTTTCCTTTGCAGTCTTTAATATTCTTCCTTTATTCTGAATGTTTAGTGCTTTGATTATTATATGAAAAGGGGACTTTCTTTTTGTTACTCTTCACCCAACAACCTTGCCTGGCCCAAGACTGGTCACCCTTCTCCTCCTTGCAGCTTGGTAGGGCCCACTACTGCTCATGTTTCTCCCAGCAGTCTAAAATCATATTTTTCCCACAAATATACAAGACCATAAAACATTTTATAAGCTTAAAATATCTTAAATGCTCATCACTGAACAATAAGCTTTGAGAAAATGTATATTTGTATTTTTATTATATATATAACAAAATATAA